CAGGGCTGTTCTCAAACCTGTGGGCTCAGGCAGTCCTCTCACCTTGGCCTCCCAAAGCGCGGGGATCACAGACGCCCGGCCTTTCTGCTGATTTTTGCCGTGAGGCGCTTGGTCTGTTTTCTCATCTGGGAAATGGGAATCATGCCCAAAGTGGGGTGAGTGGGTGACCGTCATCCGTGACCCTGACGCCCTGCTCCTCTCCTTCCAGCCACCCGGACCCATGGAGCCACCTGGCCCGGCCAAGCGACTGTGTCCCTGGCGTCCGTGTCTGGTCGTGTTGCTCCTGCAGCTCCTTCTGTCGGTGTGTTTTTTCTCCTACGTGCGCGTGTCTCGAGGCGATCTCACTGGTTTCCTGCCACTGGGGCCCAGTGCCGTGGAATCTGCCCAGGCAGCTCCCAGCCGGTCCCCGGAACTCCCTCCCCAGACCACCCCGGCGACCCTCACCCGCCGCCCCCTGCAGATCCTGCTGTGGACATGGCCCTTCCACATCCCCCTGACTCTGTCCCCCTGCTCCGAGTTGGTGCCCGGCCTGGCCGACTGCGACATCACGGCCAACCGCAAGGTGTACCGACAGGCGGACGCGGTCATTGTCCATCACTGGGACGTCATGTTCAACCCCAGGTCCCAGCTCCCGCCCTCCCCCAGGCCACCCGGGCAGCGCTGGGTCTGGTACAACATGGAGCCGCCCTTGAACTCCCGGCAACTGCGAGCCATGGACGGGCTCTTCAATCTCACCATGTCCTACCGCAGCGACTCGGACGTCTTCATGCCCTACGGCTGGCTCGAACCCTGGTCGGGCCGCCCCGCCCACGCCCCGCTCAACCTCTCGGCCAAGACGGAGCTGGTGGCTTGGGCGGTGTCAAATTGGAGGCCGAGCTCCGCCCGGGTGCGCTACTACGAGAAGCTGAAGGCCCATCTCAAGGTGGACGTTTACGGTAAAGGCCACACGCCGCTGCCCAAGGGCGTCATGATGGAGCGGCTGTCCCGGTACAAGTTCTACCTGGCCTTCGAGAACTCCCTGCACCCCGACTATATCACCGAGAAGCTGTGGCGGAACGCCATGGAGGCCTGGGCCGTGCCCGTGGTGCTGGGCCCCAGTAGGGGCAACTACGAGCGCTTCGTGCCGCCCGACGCCTTCATCCACGTGGACGACTTCCAG